AAGGGAGAACAAAAAACGGTTATACCACAGAAGAAAGGAGGTTTGGCTGCAAGAAGAAAAACAGGACTTAAACTTAAAGTACCAACAGAAACTGGTGATAAAGGATTTACAATGGGAGCTCCAGCATTAGACGAAGGGTTGAGGACTGCTTTACCACCACCACCTGCTCCACTCCATCCCACCACAACCCCAACCCCAACCCCTTCAGATGATGATATTGTACAATTGAATATCAGAGATAAAGAGGATGAGGAGAAACAAAAGGAAGAAGACTAATTAATTCACTGAAAGTTGTGTCTAAACAACATTGATAATTAATGAACTCGAGTAAAAAATAATTCATGAAAAAATACATATACAATGTTATATGTTATAAATGTTAGATATTTTGATGTCATTATCTTAAAAGTAATTCTAAAATTGTAGTAAAAATAAAGTCATAATTACTTTGCTTCGCCTTTCTCTTTCATTTTATTGTTCGTTTCATTACTTTCTTTATCAATCAGTTTTGTATTGCCTTTAGCCATATCCTCGACTGAATCGGGGATAAACTCTTCAGTCTTTACTTCAACTTTCTTTATTTTCTTTTGTTTAGGTATACCTCCTCTCTTCGCAAATTTCTCGACAGCCTTAATGATTTGGTCTTTTGAGTTTTCCAAGACGATTTGTTCGAATTTTGAGATTCCGTCGACAGCTTGCATTTTCTTGATAGTGTTCAACACGTCAGTCATGTCGACCTTCTCGTTGACCAATTTGTCGCATGTCTCTTTGATGAGTGTAGTGAATGCCTTTGTTGGCAGTCTTCCTTTGATGTTAGAGAGGGAATGCAGACATTGTAGCACCAAGTCAGCGATGACTGTGCCTTCTGTGTACAAATATGACACCAAGAAGACTGTTCCAAGATATTCAAACTCATCCACTGCATTTGCATCTTCACGTTCGATGCGTTCGATATCTGTTTCATTTTCAGATGGCATTCTGACAGTTGGTGGATGTGTGAATTGATTCTCTGCCTTCCCAAGAAGAAATTTGATCATGTCAATTGCAAGGTCTTTCTTGGTGTCAACTACAAGCATCGCATTGCGCACTTTCACAAAGAACTTCACATACAACTGCACATATCGCCGCTCATTGATCGCATTTTTGAATAAGATCGACAACATCGTCTCAACATCATCTTTACTTCGCATCTGAAGTGCCATTTCAGATGTGACTTTATCAATTGTGATTTCTGTCAACTGATTGAACCACTGGCGATACATCGCCTTCGACTGATCAACTGTGAATAATTTTTCTTCTTTCTTTTCTTTCATCGTGAATTTTTGGAACATTTCAAACATCGAATCTCTTGCTCGAACCTTTTTGCTTCTCAAATCAAGCATTTGGTCAATTGAATACACATTTTGTGGGACATGTGGCGGTACCGATTTGACAGATGGGGGAATGATAATCCCCATCTTATCATCATCAATGTCCTCTTCAATTCTCTTTGCTTCTGTTTTTTGTTCCTCTTGTGGAGCTGGTTCACCAAACCTAATACGAGTTGCTGCTTTAAATATTCCTGGAGATTCCCCGTCTTCTTTAGGAGCCGCCTCTCCAGCTCTTATTCTCGTTGCTGGTTTAAAGAAGTTTTCTTCTTTTGGTTGTTCATTGAGTTTTTCCTTTTGACGGTCTTCTATATTACTTGGTGTCGGTGGCTTGTAAATTTCCGCCTCTTCTTTGATTTCGTTCCGTTTGTCGTCATCTTGATTTTCGGTGATTGCAGATTTGACATTTTCAGTTTGTTTTTCTTCGTCGATTTTATCGTCCTTTGTTTCGTTTGACGTCTCTGATTTTTTCTCTGATTTTTTGTCTTGTGTTTCTTTTTTCTTTTTGGGCTTTTGCTTCTTCTTCGATGTCTTTGTCGAAACAACATCTTGCCACTCATCTTCTGCAGTTGTTATCGGTTCCTCTTTTTTTTCACTTTTCTTTTCCCACCACTTGTCTTGCTGTATAACACGTTTTTCTGGTTGGGTTTTTTCCTCCTGTTGTTCGGGAGATTGGGCCAATTTCTCGGCAACATCACTCACTTTGTCATTTTCCCCCAAAACGTGATCTTGGCAGAAAGAAACGTGTTTTGAGGCTGGATTTTGCTGGGAATTTATGTCAAGACCAACCTCCTCTTCAGATTGAGGTGGCTGGTCTATGATGTCCTTCTTCTGCTTTTTCTTTGGTACAAATTTTACCGCGGCCTTAACAGCTTTATCAACATTTGATTTGAAAGCCGAGTCGACAGCCGCCATTTTGGTGGTGTCTCCCAAATGGGGAAGGTCCGCAGACACCGCGACCGTCGGGTGGCTAAACTCGGGCGCGACTGGTGTTTGCTCACGTTCTTCATTTAACCCTGCAAAAGCCTTTATTGGTTTTGGGGCATCAATTTTCTCGTTCTTCTTTTTGTGAACAAAAGCGTTTGCGCCAAAATTGTATGTGAATTGTTGTGCACTCTTCGACGGTAAAACTTCGGTGCTTTTGATATTTGGTGTGTAGCTCATGGGGACTTTTGTCTTGCCAGTTCTTATTCTCCTGTCTGTAATGTTTTAGCACCAAAACTCAGGGTTTTCTCTTCGAAATTACATCAAAAAAAAATACCATTTGAAAAACATTTTGAGAAAATGTTTTATATAAAAAAAACACAAATGTTTTAAATTTTATTGAAAAATTCCACCCATTTTTGTACCAACAATTTTTGGTATTTCAAACCTTATTTGAACTATTGAAGCTGAGAAACTTGAAATAAGTGGGAAGAATTCGCAACGAACTTTCCATTTGAAAATGACTTTAAAACGTCGTAATAAAACCCGCCAGAAAAAGTTAGTCGAATTTGAATAAAATCAACACACAAAAATGTTACAATAGAAAAAGACAAAAAAAGTTGTTTCAAAGAACCAAGAGAAAAAACCCAAAGAAACATAAGAGTTAAAACATGACACAGTGTGACTTTTTCTTCTCGGGCTTGGCGTGTGAATTAATTTTATTGATGAGCGTTGTGAAAATGTCCAATATTTTAATCTCAGCCTTTGCAGAGACCTCGAGGAAGTCGGCTTTGTACTTGTCTGCCAACGCCTGGCCGTCTTCTTTTGACACAATTCTCTGACTTTCGAGATCGCATTTATTTCCGACAACAATAATAGGAACATCATCGGAATCCTAAAAGTCAACATTTCATTACTTGATATTATGAAATTCTATATTTTATAGTTAAATAAATTATCCACAGAGAGATTGAGATGGTGGAGGAATGAACAGCACTTATAAGGGCAAAAAATAATCGAAAAAACAAACTCTGACACGGACAATTTGTTCATGGATTGGCTCAAGGTCGTTGTATGTGGACTGAGCAATGATGGAGTAAACCAAAACAAAGCCCTGTCCAGTCTTCATGTACAAGTCTCTCATGGCAGTGAACTGCTCAGTACCAGCAGTATCAAGAATCTCAAGGACGTATTGTTGGCCCTCATGCTCTAACTGTTTTCTGTAAGAGTCTTCGATGGTGGGGTCATATTTAACCAAGAAAATACCTTGGACAAACCTGACTGTAATTGAGGACTTCCCGACGGCACCACTCCCAAGCACGACTATTTTGTAATCTTTCACTGGCATCACCTGCTTCTGCTTTTCAAGATCAAACGATCTTCTTTTTATCCCCCGTTTTTCTCTTGAGTTTATTGGCCGTTTTGCTGTATTTTTGGATTTCTCTTTTATCTATTTTTTTTCTTTGGAGGCGATTTGTAATGGGTTTTTTTCTGCAGCATTTCCGGGTGTTTTCGACTGGCGTTTTACCGCGATCTGGTAAATCGCCTTCTTGGTTGCCGCATTTCAATTCTTTTGTTGTTGTTTTCGGGGAAGGGTTTTGGCGATATTTTATTCCCTCTAGTTCTTTCTTATTCAACAATAGCATTTGTCTTTTCGGTTTTTATTTGCGGCTTGGTAAATCTATAAAAGATGGTGCTTTTTTCGCTGAATTTGTTTTTTATTGCCTTTCAAACACATCCGTTTTTTTTCTGTTTGTCGGGCGTTCTGTCAATCCAATGTTGTTTCCAATCAAACTTCACTTATTCATTATAGTCTGTTATGTCGGGATTTTATAATTAATTACAGAAAAGCAATTAACAACATTTTATCTATTTTTACATTTTGTTTTTCACAATTATTGCTATTCCTAATAATATATTATACTATAATATACTATAATATAATAATTATTCATAGTGCTTTAGTGTTTTGTTTTTAGTATTATTTTATTCCTTTTGTTACTTCTTTCCTTTTCACTAACTGTTTTGAGATGTACTGGTTATTAAAAATGTGTATACCAACAAATATAATTATTTTTATTATAATTTATAATAAATAAGCTCGTTATTTTTGGAAAAAAATAAAAATGAGTTGATTTGGGTTTCCTTTGTTAAATAAAGTAGCTTTTTTATGATGACAATATTGTCTATTTGATGTTACTACCATTGCTTTTTATAGGTAATATATTTATTATTTTATCTCTTTTTTTTCCTATATAAACCATTGTGAATCTAAAAGAAAAAGACTGAATGACGGAAATATACTTTATTTTATTGTTTTACTATAAATATTACTATATAAATCACAGGTATATTTTAAAAATTTTTTTCAAAATAACAAAATTTCCAAATTTTTTATGTGGAATTCGAATTAAAGTATTGGAAATTGTTTTTTAAAAAGATGATGACAAACCATATTGTAAAATAAAATTACAATAAAAAAACTAAAAATGAATTATTTTGAGAAGAAGATTGAAGTGGCTGAATGACACTAGATAAAAGCGACATATCTTGCTTGTTGTTCCTTTGGGACTTTTGTCTCTCTCAGACCGATGAGGCCGTGCTTATCCAAAAACGTGAAATTATTGATCTCGAGGTTTTCTAAACACTCAGGTAGCTCGAAGGAGACTGGCTCGGTGTATTTCAAGTCATTCAAAAAGAGATCTTTGAGACTTTTGAGTGATTTGAAACTGATCACGGTACCTTGTGTTGTCAGGGCCTGAACCGTATTGCTCTGTATCTCGATTTTATATGGATTGTACATTGTAAGTAATTGTTGGAAGTGTGGATCAACAGTGATTTGGCTTGACAGCTTAAGGTGAACTCGTTTTCAATTAATAAACAAATAAATTATAAAATAATAGTAAAAGAATTATTAAAGATAAGAAAATCAAATATGACAAGATTTGATTTTGAAATTGAATAAATGAGAGAACGAGATTGCGGTTGTGGAAAAAGAGTACAGATAAGACAACACAATCAACAGACAAAACGACTCTTTAAAATACTTAGATGTCATATCAAAGTATTATTAAGAGCCAAAACAAGTTGTTGCGTGCAAAAATTGATGAAGAAGACAAACCTGTAAGAAGCAATCGGTGTAAAAGAGCAACACAACACCAGATTTAATAAAGACGTTGTTGAACTTCCCAAACCCATTGGTTAGAAGCCCAACAGCGACGTGGTTGGAAATTGTCGATATCAAATTGCAGTCCTCATCTCTCAGCCAATTCAGCTTGAAGATGAACTCTGTCTTCTTAAAGTTGAATTCTTTGACAAGGTCCCACATCATTTCTATGAGTTGTGAGTCGCACGAAATCACCACCTTTCTCAGATGAGGAATCCCCTTTAATCCATTAACGAACGTTTCAATGATATCTTTAGGGATGTTTTTGTTAATTCTAAATTTGACTTCTCTCAGAGAAAGCATATCAGAAGTATCGAAGGGTTCTGGCCCAAACAAATCGATTCCAAAACTCGAAACAAGACATTTAAACTGTTGGAAATTTTTCGACTTTAAAAAGGCCGACTTTCTGTTAATAAAAGGGATATGAATGAGTTGGTACTTTTCCACTACAAATGAGTAACACCTTTCATGGCAACAACATGAGGAAACAAACGATTTTGGGGGTCAATTTGATCCAATGAATTAATGTCAATGTGAAGAGTTTCAAGACCAGTAAATACGGTCATTTCTTTCGCCACATTTTTGGGGCGCAATTTTTGGAACAGAGTCTCAACGTCAGACTCTCTGAAGGATGGGTTGATTTTGATACGTGAAATAGCTTCATCACACTTTTTACTAACTTGGTGGAAAAGTAAGAGTGTTGACAATGAACCCAAACATGGAACTATGGACATCAAGTACACAGGCTCAAGACGTGACTTCTTGTTATTAAGTAGCATGAAATGAACAACAAACCATAAATTATCACTTTTCCAGTTTTCTTTCAAATCTCTTTCTTTAATTAAATAGTAATTTAATAATTTAATTAGTAAAAAATATAAAATTTGTTTATGTTTTTTAAAACTATATTTTATAATAATTAAACTATACAATTGTACAATTTTAAAATTATAATCAAATTATAATAAACTATATTATATATTATAAAAATATATTTATAAAAAAACTATAAAGAGCAGTGAACTTACAATTCTCAAATGTCCAGTTTTGCCATTCTTTTGACATGGGTTTTGGAATTGATTTTGTGTGGGGCGAATCTTGTAGTTGTTCTATTTAGGGGGCTTTGTATTGTTGATCTTCAGTCCGATGAGTTGGACCCCGTCACGTTTTGTCGAAGGGTCAACAAGTTTGTTTTCACGCACAAATGTTATATAAAACATTTTGTTCACATCAAGGACTATGATGCCAGAAATTGGTATTCAAATTGTTATTCTTTTTGTTTTATTCCCATCGTTTTTGCTGACTGAGATGGTGATTGCTCTTCCTGTTGTGATATATGATTTGTACGCTTTCTTTTCGGGCGATTTCTGGTTTAGCCCCGTTTCCGTTTTCAATGGATTGAGGAGGAAAGAGATAATTGGATATATTAAGATTGTGTATTATCTCGCTTTCATCTTTATCATTATTGGAAGAATTTTGTACTATGTCATTGTGACTTACACAAATTGATTGTTCACTTTCTTATTTTTTACTCGGAATATCTTAAACATTTCAGCTTCCACTGAAAGTTATTTTTCTTTTAAAAATTGGAGACAAAGAAATATAGTTGGTAAATACCATATAGTGTGTTATTAAATGATTAATAATTATTAAGTAACAATACTATTTTAGTTTTTTTTAAATTTGAAAAGATTTTTCTTTACAAATAGAAATTTCATTAATATTATTTTATATTTTTTTTTATGTCTGATTTATTTAATTGTTTATATACTTAAACTATTATTAAACTATAAATTAACTAATAAATTTGCATTGATGAAAAAATCGATTTGAAAAGTTTTAAAACGTCTGAAAATTTCTTTAAGAAAAAAGAACTTCTGAAAATATTTTAATTTTGTTTCTTTTTCAATAGTTAAACTATATTATAGTAATAATTGAATCAAATTATTAGTTAGATGTCTTCAAATAGAAAAACCAAATGAACTATATTAAATAGATATATGAACCATACAATTATAGTACCTAGTAGTAACGAACAAACCAGATGCAGAAGCCGTCGAAGCGTTTCAAACTCGAAATTAACAAGATGGAAGACAAAGCAGCAGCCCAAGCGACGACCGGAGTGACATCATTGAAGATGCCCGTTATAGTAGAAGCGGCACTTGCAAATTTGTGTGCGATAGCGTCGTTGATCTTCTTTGCCTTTGAGAAGGAGAATTTGTATGTGCGAGCACATGCGTTGCATTCGATCTTCTTTTTTGTCGTGTGCGCCATCATTGGGTTCCCATTTTTCTTATTCTGTGTCATATTGGGAGGTGCTATGGAAGGAATTTATATTGCTCTGATAGTCATTTACTGTGTCCTGAGAATCGTTCTCATCGTGTTGGCTTGCGTCTTCGCAAAATCTGAGAGGTTTTTGACTCTTCCAATACTCAGTTCCTTCATCTTAAAACTCGCTAATTAATTCCTTTTATCTGTTTGGTTCAAAGGCGCCAAATTGTTTATTTCGTTCACTTCCATTATAAAATTTACACGGAAAAAGACCGAGTCGGGGTTTGAAGTGAACAATCCATTTTTTTGGTATTTCTAAAATTGGTGTTTGAAAAAATGTTATTAATAACAAAATGAATAACAAAATTACTTGAAGCACTGGACAAATGCATATATCACGCCAGATATCGTACAACAAAATAGCCAGAGTACAGAACATATCCAAAACTTCTTCCCTGTTGTGTTGGACTGAATGTAAACAGCTATCGGAGGACAGAGTAAACACAGCATCACAATAAACCACACAGGATACTCTTCAACACCCATACTATCTTTATTTACTATTTTATTGTTATTTGAGCTTTTTGGTATTATTGTATATTACTATTTATTTAATAAGATTTTTACTATAATAAGTATTATAAATAATAGTATAAATAATAATACATGTTGTTGTTTTTTTTATTATTAATTAATAATAATATATTATTATTTAAAAACTAATATTAAATGATATGTAAATTATTACATGAATTTATAGATTCATGAAAAATTAAATATGAACTACTATCATATAATAATAATATACTATTTGAGAGTTGAAAATTTTATTTTTTGAAATTGAAAAAACCAATAAAAAATGAAAACAAAAAAAAAACTTCAAAAAATGAATGGACGGTGGACAAGATAATCTGACAGGAACTGAGTTGCTTTCAAGTTCCGAAAATCAAAGCGAGAATCAAAGCAAAAATTCAAACAATAGTTTTAGTGACGAAGATAATAGTTTAGATGAATCAGAAGAAACGAGTGAAAATAGTTTGAGTGACGACAACGATCCCGAAAAAGATGTGATTGGGAAACAAAATGCGGACTTAATCTCAAGTGCGAATTTTGATGAAAACAATTATTCATTAGATAAATTAATAGTTATTTATAAAACTGCGTATAGCTATTCGTTGCGCTCATTTTATGAGATGTTTCAATCTATACGGAAAGAGACGGACCGAGTGAATATAGAAAACAAACGATTAAATGTTTTAAACAATAAACTGATGGACGTTCATTTAAATTCCAAAGATATTATTTCCGAATTACAAGAAGTGAATGAACGCCACAAAATTGAATATGAAAAAATGTTAATAAAATATGAAGACGAGCAAAAAAATCACACAAAAACGTTAAAAGAACTGAACGAATTGAAGCAAAGTGAATTTTTTTCAAATCGGAGTGCTTCTGTGATTGCTTCCCTTCAAATCTCAATTGAAAATGGCAAATTAAAAACCGTTGAATTAGTTGATTCTTTTGACAAAACGAAAGACGATGCTCTCGAGATTGCAGTATTAGAAAAGACTGTCGACGAGTCGAATAAAAAGTATCAGAAGCTCTTAGATGAGAAGAATGCATTAGTTCTTTTGAATAGTTCCCAACTAGTAAATGTGACCGAGAAGCACCACGACGAGATTTTGAATTTGACCTCAATGTTGTCACTTGCTCAGAGTAAAGTTGTTGACCTTGAAAAGAAGTTATCACTCGTTTCAAGTCTCCCGCAGCAGCCAATTCAAACTCTTCATCAAAAACTCGACCGCCCCGACAAACAATCGTTGAAGTCTGACTTCCATTTGTCTCAAAATGGAAGCAAAGGATTAGAAAAGAGTACCAATATAACACAGGTAGTACCTTTGAATACCCCAATAACTCCAACTCAACCAAATGAGACCAAATTTGAGAAGAAGACCTTTGTGATCTCGCCAAAGCCTTTAATTCCCCCAAAGCATCGGCCCACCCCCTCGTTCTCTGAAGTCACCAAACTGTCACGCGAGTCCTTAAATCTGATGCAATCAACCAATTCGACTCAAATCGCTCCAATCACGCCTTTTGAACTCCCCATATTGAAGAAGGGGAAGAGTTATAAATACAATAAGAGGAGTGCCATCTACAAGAGTAAAGAAGTGATTAACACTGTGATGACCTGTGCCGATGACTTCTACGTCTTAAAAGAGTGTGAGAAAGGGAGCGAGTTACTTAAAATGACTAAAGGGAAGACTGATGTGACTGTCGAGAAGAGTGAGAGTCTCATGGAGTGTTGTGGATATCGCGATGGGGTGGTTCTTTATCGTGATGGGGATGTCTTAGTGTATTCAGGGTACTTCTCGCGGATCCTCAGTCGTGAGAAGGTCTTTGGTTTTAATGGGTTCATAGCAAGTGCTGTGGATGTGTACTATTTGTGTGAGAAAGGTCATGTGAAGAAGGTGGGTGTCGCGTCACAGGATGTCGGGGAAGTTTCGATGGACGAGTTAGGGTTTGACCGGCGGATGTATGGAAACTATATCTTTTCTATTAAGAACCAGCGGATTGTGCGGAGTTCGATAAAGAGTAAAGAAGTGATTGAAGAAAAAGGGAGTGAAGGGGTATCGTGTTACACGTTATGTGAAGATAACATATTTGTGTCGATGCCAAGGGTGTCACAGATAGGAGTGATGGATTTGAGTTTAAAACGGATTAAAAGTTTCCCTGTGAATTTCACCCCAGTGAAGATGGAAAGTTCCGGGAAATATGTGGTTTGTGTCGGGAAAGGGAATTATAGTATCTTTGATAAACAAGGTAACAATTTCTATAATGTTACTATACCTATTAGTATCATCGATGGGATTGCTTTTGGCAGAATGAGAAAGAAAGTCGATTGTCGAATCTTCATCGTCAGTCTCAAAGAAGTCTTCGAGTTCGGGACTAAACTCAAAAGTCATGAGATGGGCGTGTCCTTTAATCCCGGGGAATGTGTTGTCTGTAAAGAATTGTCTATGGACATCGAGTGTATTCGATGTCATAAAAAATACCATAACAAGTGTTTCTTACACACAGTAAGTGAAGTCGAGCCGTGTTGTGCAGTAGATGACTGTTGATTGACAAATTTGTTATTCAAAATGTTATTACCAATGAAATTCTAATAGTTTTCAGAATAATAAAAAAACGATTGAAATGTTATTAATTATTTAATTAATTATTAATTAACATTCCAATCAAAATCAGTCTTCTTGAAAAGGGGGGTGTCGGGAATAATTCTGGACATAATTAACTCACAGTCGTTGGATATCATCTTCTTGAGACCTTCAATGGAGTCGACTTTTTTCATGGGCCTGAGATATTGTAATATAAATACTTTCACATATTCGCCATAGAATTCTTCGCCTTTGAAGTCCTTGAAAACATGGATCTCGACTACCGTCTTTTTTAATGCAAAAGTCGGGTTTTTTCCAACGGAAATGGCACAGTGATAGACGTTGTCTAACAAAAAGATTTGTCCATAATAAACACCGACATCTGGTACGGAAGTAGGAAATATATTTGCAGTGGGATACCCAAGAAGACGCCCCCGTTGAAACCCTTTCACGATCGTTCCTTGTAACTTCATGATAACATTGTCGTTCATTAGAGATCACAGTCTCTGTTGTTTTGAAGTTTCTTTTGGTTCATTTTATGATTTGAAGTAATAATATATAATTACTATTCTCTTATTCACGAAAATAGTATAAGCAAGACGGTTGCATGATGTAGAAGTAAGAGAAACATTGAAGTAAAGACAGTGGCATCTTCACTCCATTACATACAATGAAAAACAACAACAATTTATACGACAAATAGTGGTCTTTTAAATACTTCCATTCCACCAAAAAAATCTCGTTTATTTTCATTTTTTCCATATTTTGAATTATAATATAATTAATTAAACTGTTTTTACAATTTTTTAAATTACTTCAAAATATTATTGATATAACTATCATAGAGTAAATGAAAAACTATTTAAATTTTGTAAATTAAAAAACTCAACAAAGTTCGAGTTTTCAAAAACAATATTAAATAATAATAAAACTATTATTTTGACATAATTATTGATTTTGATTATATTATTAACAATTATATTATTGAAAAAAAAGGAAATATTGTCATACTTAAACTATAAATAAATTAAAACTAAACCATAAAATGAAATGAATGATTTCAATGACTTTTACACACTCATTGGTCTAATAAAGGGCTTATTCCGTTATTTCTGGGTGTTTGAATAGCTGACATTGGGAGATTAGACGAAACATCACTTTTGATAAGAGGAGATTGTGACTTTTTCGGATTATCCTTTGAACTTCCCCACAAAAGTGAGAGCGATCTCCCAAGTTTCATTCGCTGACGTGGGTTCTTTGATGACTCCTTGGATTGTTCCTTAGAACTTTCCTTTGAAATTTCTTTTTTCTCGAAGGTGTGTGATTCGTAGTCCTTTCCAACCTTCTTTCGTTTTGGAAGACCGAGACGAACTTGATTTGTTGATAAAATGACGGAAAGCGGAAAAATGACGAGGGGGTTGAAAGCTGGATATTGAGGAATATCAAGATTACCAAGATTTTTAAGATTTCTCGCAACGACGTCAGTGAAAAGTGCGTCTGTGTTATCCAAAACATATTCGAACGCGTCTATGACAACTTTGTAAAATTCCTTATCGCTTTGATCGACAGGCCGGCATATTGCAAGTGCAAAACACGTGGAAATATTTCGTGTTGTCATTTTGTTGATCTCGTTCTGCTCAGAAATTTCTCTTAAAAACACAGTTAAGAACCATAACGAGTTTTGAGAATCGACCGGTAGTTCGTCAATCACTTTCTTTGGGTCTTTCGTTTTGTGGATTTCAAAAAATCTCCGAGATTGGTTGAACGGAACAACGGGTTCGATCATACTATTTAAATAAAATTTGAGGAAGTTCCCGATTAATATGGTGTCGGTGCCTTCTTTTATAAAAAAATCTTCATCACTTTCCACGTCTTTTTTTAACTTTTCCAATTCTTTGATTGCTCCATTTTTCCTAAATAACCCTTCACAATTTTTCCCATGTTTCTTTAAGTATTCCACACATCGGTATATACAATTCGGTACTATCCATTTAGATTTTTTTACTACTATAGATAAAGGATAGCCAAAAACCCCGTAATTGTGTGTCGTCTCACCGATTAATTGAAGCCAATATGACGTCTCCTCTTTCGTTTTGCCAACAAAAACGAACTCATCATTGTAAAACAACGAAAATGACAACTTAAGATCGTCCGTAGAAAGGTTCAGATTTTTGACATTTAAACTCAACACAGAGTTGTTCAAATCTATATCACAAAGTTTCCCTCCTATTAGACGGGTCTCCCCGGGTACAGAAATAATTTTGACTTCAACTTCAACTAAACGCTTCCCTTTCAGAAAAAACAAATTCTTTGGAGCCGTTGACATAACTAAAGTTTTTTGGATTCGCAAAAATTCAGTTTAAAAAAATGAAATTTTTCTAAAAATGTTGTTAGATTGAATACCATAATTTATTTTGCGGTTGTTTCTTTCAAAATAACGGGATTTGCAATTTTTTGAAAAACCATATTGAATTATTCTCGTATTGTTTATTTAATTATTCAAACTATAATTTAATTATACTAATTATATTGAATTATAATCAATAAAAACAAACACAAAAAAAGAATGGTGTTGTGGTATTTTTTAGTTCTTTTTATACAAATTATTTCTTTTTATTCGTTTTTATGAATAATTTACTGTATTATAATAGTTTATTACTAATATATATATGGTTTAGTTTTTGTCCAATATTAATACTTGTTTTATTTCTATTATCAGAGTTTATTCGAATGAATAATTACAACGACGTTTTATTAATATTTTAATTATAAATTATAATTAAAACAGTCAATTAATCGAGATTTTGAGAAATATTCAAGTTTTTTTTTCATTGCACAATTTTTTATAATAAATGTTAATAATAAAAACATTTTAATTTAATAGTTTATTACTCTTTTTCAACAAACCAAGTGTTATAATTAAAAAACCATATTATAATAATACAGGCGAGGTGAGTAAGAATTATTAGTATTAAACCATACATAAAACCATAACAATCACTTACTCTTTTCTTGTGAGTTTTTTTTCTTTTTTGTCTTTCTTTTCTTGTCTAAGAGCTTTGGGTAATCTGATTTTCTTTGCCAATTGGCTCAAGTCTTCAGTTTGTGCGTGTACCTTTCCGATGACTTGACCGAACATATCTTTAGTGACATTTTTCTTTTTCTTTGGTTTAGCCAATTGTGGAGGGATTTGCATGGCTTCTTCTCTCAAATCGTTTGCGGCAAAGTAATTTCGTTCTGGAGCAAAAACGAATCTTGGCCCGACTTCGTTATACACCGGCAAATTATTATCGACTGTGACGTGGTACACACTCATCAATATTTTTCCGTCGACGACGGAGAAAGCCATAACTGTAGTTATTTCTTCGACGTTAAATTTGTCATGTTGGTCGTTTTTGTAGAAATCAACTATAATGTTCTTAAACATTTTAAATTGTTCGTCGGTCTCAAAAGCAGAGCCAACAAAACTAAAAAGAACACGGGGACATGTAGGTGGCTTTTCCCCTTTAAATTCACGAATTGGGGTATACTCTTCTATTTTTAACTCTATCATATCCAAAACCCTATGATCATAACAGCGAATAAACGTTAAACAATTCGGTCGCTTTTTCGTCGAATTCCCAAATAACGTTAATGACGCATCTTGTCCTTTGCTATACACTTCAATAGGTGTCTCATCGTCAAACGGCTGTATCTCATGCTTATGATTGAATTTCTTGAGGTAGGGTTTCTTGTAGAACCCTAAGTCATCCATAGCCTCCGTAAGTAACTGTGTGGTCTTCCGCCCTTTCATAAAGATCGCTGTCTTTGGATTCTCTTTCACCTTCGGTTCTCGCTCTGCGAGACGCTTCCACCCCTTTTTCTTGTGGAACGACTTCTTTTTCTCGGTTGGCTTAGTCTTGCTTGGCATTGTAGGTTTGTTTCTAGTTTGAATTCTTTTCCGTGTTTTTTTACTTTGAAATGCTTTTACTATTCTTTTATTAAGTATTATTAATTTTTAATTATTGTGTAAAGTAAAGGTAGGTAAAACTATATCTATTTATTTAGTTTATTATTAGAATATAGTTAATGTATAGTAAAGAATATACTATTCAACTAATACAAAAATATACTCAATTTTAAAAAAATAGTAAAAAAATTATATATTACTAATACATGAAATAACCCAATTAACATAACCACACTAGTAAATTAATAATAACTGTTATAGTTTTATTTTTTCATTCTTTTTTTTTAAAATACAAAAAAAATTGACCGAACCCCTCAAAAACAATTTTCAGAATCTCAAAAAAATGATGAAAAAAGTGAAAAAAACAAAAACTTCAAGAGAACTTGATTTCAGAGAGAGATGAGTTCAATTGGTTCTGGATATGATGACTCCTGTTCGACGTTTTCTCCCGAAGGGAAGGTTTTTCAAATCGATTACGCTACAAAAGCTGTCGAGAACTCCGCGTTTGTTACTTTTTACCTTTGAATTAAAGGAAGATATACTTCTATTCACCAATTAGAACAAGTGTAGCCATTAAATGTGTCGATGGGGTTGTATTTGGTGTCGAGAAGTTAATCATATCGAAGATGATCAAAGAGTCCTCCAACAAGCGGATTTTCTACATCGGAACACACATCGCCGTCACGTGTGCCGGGTTTCTCCCCGACGCTCGAAAATTAGCAAAGAAAGCTTCCGAAGAGGCAGAGGCCTTTAAAGACAATTATGGGATGGAGATCCCCGTGAAGACCTTAGCCGAGAAGGTCGCAATGCATATGCAGAACTACACTTTATATTCTTCTTTAAGGCCTTTCGGCTGTTCATTATTAGTTGGGGGATACGACCATCGCGGCTATTCTTTGCATTATATAGAGCCGTCCGGCACCACTTACGTTTGTTGTACTATACATATAGTATCTCTATAGTATGTATCTAGTATCTACTAGAGAGATGCATTATATAGTATATGTATGGTATGTATAGTATATAACTATATATACTATAGACATACTATATTTATAGTTCATTGTTGAGTACGAGAGACTAATGAATAGGGATACATGGCTAATGGGATTGGAAAGGGGAAACAAATCTGTAAGAACGAGCTTGAGAAAATCAATTTCAGTCAGATCACATGCAAAGAAGCTATTGCGAAAATAGTGAAAATACTCGATTTGTGCCATGGAGAGTGGAAGGACAAACCATATGTATTGGACTTGTGCTGGGTCTCTGACGAGACTAAACATGTCGTTAAAAGAGTGTCGCAAGAACAAAAGGAAAAGATCCTTGCTGAGTTCGGGGAGAAAAAGATGGAGGAGGAAGTCAAGAACTAATTCACTTGGATTTTTAAGTTCACTTTTGACGTATTGGAATAAAGTATTAAATATTATATTTATTCTAATATTATAATAAATAATTAATATTATTAATATTATTGATTATGATTAACTATTACACAATTAAATTGTGTAATAGTTAATAATGTTATTAGTTTTGTTTTTTAATTTCACATAGAAATGATTAGATTACTTTTTGGGTGGTGGCGGTACGTCTTTCTTTGTGGTTGGAGAACCATATTTGGATGTGTCTTTTCCACGTGCTCCTCCTTTGATGTTTGACTTTGGCATGACGTTGTATTGAGTGTTATATGAGTTAATATTTACTTTTTCTTTTTTGTGAGAAGATTATTTAATTTTCAATCAGATTATAAGTATTTTTAATAGTTTTTTAATTATTAAATACTAGAAATTTGTCATTGAAATGAGATTATTTATAGGATGGAATGAAAACATTTATAAGCAAGCACTAATGGTCTAAGGGCAGAATTTCACCCTCCCAAGGTGGAGATCCGGGTTCGAGTCCCGGTTAGTGCATTTTTATTTTTCGAACAATTATTATAAATAACAAGTGCAATTCTTTTTGAAGTATTTCACTTGAAAAATATTTTTTACTATTTAAAAATAATATTCTTTACTATTTAAATTAATAACAATGGTTTCAATTATTCTATTTGAGTAATACTCAACTCATCTTCTGTCAGTGAATCGATCTCCATATTATGTGTTTTAGACTCAATTTCTGATGGTCCATTAGACACCACAGACGACGTACTTTGTGTAGCGATTTCTGTCACACTCTTCTCAAACTTCAAAGTCTCCAGACCGACTTTCTCGCCGAAGTAACTTTCTAAATCACACAACTTTATAAGAGTTGTCTGGTCTTTTATATCCACGACAACATTCTCGTCTCTCACTAATATAATTTTCTTTGGCGAGGTGGGGCCGGTGAATATGTCACTGATGTATTTATACAACTTCTCCCCAATCACGTTGATGTCATCCTTATACGCCTTTCGTTGACTCTCTCCTACTACAATCCAGTTGAGTCTCTCGCGAGAGATGTTCACTGCTGACCGCTTTGTGGCGATCACTTTCTGACCGGAGTTCGCGACACGTAAAGGCTCGTTCATTAACTTTAATAATCCGGCGATGTTGTATTTATCACACTTGCGATGCCTATAGAACACTCGAGTCTGGTCATCTATTGGATTTATTGAAATTAAGACGTCTTGTGTGAGTGTCATAGTGTTTTCATCGTATAGGATAACCCCTTGGGAATCACTAATTTGAGTAACTCGATAATAATTTAAACACCCCGATTGTGGTTGGGACCGACGCTGTTTTTGTGCAATCTCTATCACCCACCCTAAACGACGGACTAACTCATATTCACAACAATGAAGGTATTTATATGTTTTGTTGTTTGCTTTTGTGTGTGAGCTGCATAATAAACTTGTTTTAGTTTCCATTTTAATTCTCTTTTGAAGTTTTGAGTTTACTCAAGACTATCGATGACTTAGATAAAGTACTCACTCGATTTTGAGTTTATTCTATTATATGCAATAGTAAATGGTTTTTTTATTATAATTTATTCGTTTTATTTGAAAATTCACCATTCGGACTAAAATGCTTTTTTAATAATGAAAATGCTTTAAATTAAAAATCAAATGATACTAAAATTAATATGGTTTTTATATTAACTGTATATTATTGAAATGGTAATTTAAATGTTGTATTAAATATAATAAATTATATTACAACTGTTGTGTATCAATAAAAAAAAGAAAAATTAAACAATTTTTTTATTATTATTAAAGAGAAAGGACGGACATGGGGACGAAGGACGGGAATATGGGCCGAAGGACGTTTTTTGTGGTTTAAGGACGTCCTCCTGTGTATATGGTGTCCTTTTTATTATTTTC